GTAAATTCTTTCTCTTTTAGGCTAGAAAGGCAAGACTATCAAATTTAGCACACACTTATGGTTAAGGTAAAAAATAACTTAAATGTGCACCAAATGAAATATGTCAAGCTTTGGGATATTGAAGTATTCAGCCAAAAACATCCATTTTTTTTCTTTGTTTTCATCAAGAACCTCTTGTGTTTGATATTATAGATTTGGAACTCTACGGTGAACTTCACCACTTTTATTTTAAAAGGAAAGAGAAAGCTTTGGACGTAACTTCTTTGATGACAATCAAGAAGATATTTCTCAATAACATCTTTCAAAATTCAGTCGTCCTTCGTGCATTATACATTTTATACTCTATAGTTTGAGGAAAATGAAAAATAATTACCAATTTATGGTTTCTAATATATTAGACATCGGAGCCCGTGCAAGCACGGGCCCAATATGTATCATTTTTTGTTTCAATTTTTGTGACGAAGACAAAATTAAAGAGTTAATCAAACTTTAATATTAATTTAAAATAGTTTAAATTTTTAATTATTGTTAACTATGGTAAAAACAATTTTATGTCTTTTAACATTCTAAATTGGTAATTATTGTTGTATGATTTGTAATATCTTTTACGCAATTTTGAAATAATAAAGGTTATTTCTTCTTTCTCAATTTATGTGGTACTAATAAAATTTGGAGATTCAATCAATTTTTTTTGTCTTTAAAATAATCTATTGTTAATTATTATAAATTATTGTACTTTCTAAGTAATTTTGAAATAATATATATTATTTCATTTGTCCAATTTATGTGTCACCGATAAAATTTGAAGAGTTAATCAAATCTTTTACATATTTTTATATCTTTTGAATATTTAAATAAATAATTATTGTGATTTATAATATTTTATACAATTATTTAAAAAAAAATTAAACAACAAACAAAACGAATTCATCATAGGAAAATTACCAAAGCATTCTTGAATACATCAATAATGGGTCCACTTTTTGTTTATAAAAATATGCATATTGGGAGGATATTTTTGTCCAATGTGGAAATAGAATAAGTATAAAGCATTAAAGTCTTTTAAAATTTAAAATTGTTAATTCTTATTGTATGATTTGTAATACTTTTACACCATTTTCAAATAATAGAGGGCATTTCTTCTTTCTCAATTTATGTAGTACTAAAAAAATTTTGAGATTCAATCAATTTTTTTTGTCTTTGAAATATTTCTAGCTGTTCATTACTGTAATTTATAGCACTATCTAAGAAATTTTCAAATAATATAATATTATTTCATTTGTCCCAATTTATGTGTCACCGGTAAAATTTGAAGAGTCAATAAGATCTTTTATATATTTTATTATCTTTTAAATATTTAAGTAATTAATTATCGTGATTCATAATATTTTATAGAATTATTTAGTATAGTAAAATAAATTTAAAAGAAACAAACAAAACGAATTCATCATAGGAAATTACCAAAGCATCCTTTAATACATCAATAATGGGTCCGACTTTTTGTTTTTAAAAAATTGCACATTCGAAAGATATTTTTGTCCAAAGTGGAAATATTGTGTAAAAAATGTGTATTTATTGTGATTTTGAATGTTTTGTGGGGGTAATATGACATATAATAAATATGTAACTAAAAATCTTGTTAGCTTTTGGTTGAAAGGTAACAAAATAGTTATAATGATAGTTGCATTGTGGCTTATTATATATAGAATTTAGCCAGTGGTTGAAGTCAAATTCAGGATCAAATCTAAAATAAATAAAAATTTATTGATAAAACAACAAAAATAATTTTAAAACTTTACCTTTGTCCAATTTTAAAAGAGAAAACATTAGCTGCAAAAAGTTCAACAACAGTGCAACAATGGCTACCGCTGCCTCGAACACCGCACTGGTGCCGCCGCAATATCGGCAGCAACGCCGCAATAACCACCCTCCTCTACTCACTCCTCTCTTCTTCAACAAGTCTGCTACATACCCTTTGCTTGTTTTTCCTTCTCCTTCCAAGACTCGCCGCCGGGGCACTCTCTCACCAGTTTCTGCTTCTCTTATGGTACAATACTTTAGTAATTTGCTTTTCTCGCAAGAACCAATTTTTTTCACGTTTCATTCAATTCAAATTCTGTTAGCTTCATTTTCCCCAATTTTTTGTTTGTTTTAAAAGGAAACAGCGAATGAAGTGAGAAAATCCTGGGGTGGGTTTAGTAGCTTGAACAACTGGGTTGTAAAAGATTATTATAGGCTGGTGAATTCTGTGAATTCCATGGAGCCCCAAATTCAGAATCTTTCTGACGAGCAGGTTGGTTTGTAGTGACATTTTTGTTAATCTTGTGTTAGTTTTTCTTCTTTTTCCCCCTTTTCTAAAACTATTTTATCTTGTTGGGTATTTGTTGTCATAGTTGAGAGCAAAAACTCTGGAGTTCCGTCGCCGTTTGAGAGAAGGAGAGACACTAGCTCATATTCAAGCTGGTCAGACAATATGCTTTAATCTTTTGGCTTATAAATACTGAATCTTTTAGTCAAAAGGAATTAAAGTTCTTGTTTTTGATCATGTTCATTGCCATTTCTATTTCCAGAGGCATTTGCGGTAGTTCGTGAAGCTGCAAAAAGGAAGCTGGGAATGCGCCATTTTGATGTTCAGGTATCTCCTGTGTAATTCTTGACCATGTTGATTGTATAACTATAACATAGCATCTTCTGAAGGATATTTATTTGTCTGACTCCACAGTTATTACGTATTTCAGTTCTCTTACTAATTTCCGTTAAAAGAACACAGGTCCATATTCTTATCAGAGAGTGGTAATGCTTATACATATCATACATGGATGTTTGGTATCATTAAATAGATATAAGAATAAACCACTTCGTGAATAATTCAATATTATTACATGTGACGTTCTTACTAGTGCAAATTGATCATTCCGCTTTAATTGGTAATCGTAGATTATTGGAGGAGCAGTGCTCCATGATGGGGCTATTGCAGAGATGAAGACTGGTGAAGGGAAAACCTTGGTGTCCACGTTAGCGGCATATCTTAATGCCTTAACCGGAGAGGGTGTTCATGGTATGCTGTGTTGAGTGTGTTTATGTGTATGTATATCTACGAATCAATCAATCTATCCATCTACATACACACACATATACATGTAAAAATTTCTCCACCTATTTCTACTTCCTTAGAAAGCACTTTTGTCTGCTATAGCTTCAGGATTACCAACTATAAAAGGTGTTTGTGGATGCTTGTTGAGTTATCTTCAATATTAGCCATTCAGGAATGAGTCGTCTAGGCGGGGTTTTACCTCAAATATACATAATTAATCAGAACTGGCAAATATTAGCATGGTTGTAAATGTAGATAATACTTGGTGTTTACTAATTTTTTTTTTGGCATCTCCTTTGACAGTGGTAACAGTGAATGATTACTTAGCTCAACGTGATGCTGAGTGGATGGGACGTGTTCACCGTTTTCTAGGTCTTTCTGTTGGCCTTATCCAAGTAATTTTCTATAATCAACTGTCTGTAATTTCAATATTAAGTTTATTGATCTAGTAAATATTTTTTCTCAAATTTTATTTTACAACTAGTTTTTTCCAAGAATTGCACGTAATTCAAGGACTTGATCTTTTCCTTTTTAGAGACCAACTGTTATCAATCAACCATAGTAACTCTTTCTATGCACAGAGAGGGATGAAGAGCAAGGAGAGGAGATCTAATTACAGTTGTGATATAACCTATACGAATAATTCAGTAAGTTGTAGTGAGTTTCATGTTGTTCACTTGCATACATGTTATGTCATGTACCTTTTCTGGTTTATAATTCTTCATTTCTCTTAGTTGCTTGACATGTGAAGCTTTCTGACAGCCTAACGACTACATGTCTCCTGCCTCCCTTTCCCCACCTCTTCCCTTTTCTTGTTTTCAATGGCCAGGAACTTGGTTTTGACTATCTTCGAGATAATCTTGCCACTAGCCATGAGCAACTTGTGATGAGATGGTAAACATTGATTACATTTTTTTCTCTCTTGTTAATTTGTGTGATGGTTCATATTTACCTTGTACAAACAGGCCAAAGCCCTTTCATTTTGCTATAGTTGATGAAGTTGATTCAGTCCTCATTGATGAAGGAAGAAATCCGTTGTTGATAAGTGGTGAGGTATGTCTCATTGTTTTCTTATCTTGTCAAAGTACTGTTGATAGAATTATCCAAAAGATATTAGTTTTTTCTTTATCTTACCAGAAACTATTGATTGCATGAGTTTTGTTAGCTGGATATCATAATTTTCATCCTTGTTTATGTTTTTTTTATTTTTTAAATATCTGTTTGTCTTTTATTTATTTAATTTTAAAATTGCTTTTTGCATTCTGTTTCAGGCTAATAAGGACGCTGCTCGTTACCCTGTTGCTGCTAGAGTAGCTGAGTTGCTTATTAAGGGTCTTGTGAGTTCCAAGTTGTTGAGTTATCCCTTTAAAACTTAAGCTCTGTGGCAACATTACAGGATAATGATGTTATTTGTAATATTAGCATTATAGCATAGAGCTTAAGGATAATTCTGTGGAGTTAACTGAGGAGGGAATTGCACTCGCTGAGATGGCCCTAGAAACAAGTGACTTGTGGGATGAGAATGATCCATGGGCTAGGTAAATGTTAACATGTTGTTCTGTTTGCTTCCTTTGTTTTCCGTTTTTTTCTTTAGTTAGATTGTATAAGGTACTTTTGTTTTAACTATTAAACCAAACACTGCAGATTCGTATTTAATGCTTTAAAAGCCAAGGAGTTTTACAAGCGTGATGTCCAATACATTGTTAGAAATGGGATGGCTCTTATAATTAATGAGGTACTTGCAGAACAAGTCTCCCCCATAAGATGTGAATGTGTTCTTGGTCTCTTTTATTGTCACTGATGATTTTATTGTCATTTTGTTCATCACTTGCCTTTCCTTATTCTATTCAGTTTAACCCTTTGGGTGGAACTGTTAGTAGTTTTTCAACCATGAAATGATAATGGTATGGTCAGTATTAAGATAAAGTCATAATCTGCGTATTTTTGTAAAGATTGTCATTCGACCAGTAGTTAATAATTCTAAACTTTGCGAAACTATTTTATGCATAAATCAAGTTACCACATTGACAGTGAGCAGGGTAAGTAGAGGAGGAAACTTTTATCAGTCTGATCAGTGGTCTCTACTAGGGAACTTCGGAGAATTGGAGTCACAACCTTGCAGAGCAAAAGCATAAACTCCAAATTTCTATGCATATGTGAAAGGGGAAAAGGTTTAGTACATTTGCTGCTCGAGTAATGTGGTGAGAAGCTCTGCATCCAACTTTTACACCAAAATTCTACCACAACCCAGAGCAACTGATTGTCATATATGAAAATTAAATATACAAATGAATATGTGAAGTTATGGTGGTTGAAGGGGATGAGGTGGTTGAAAATATCCTCACCCACCGCCGGCTTCTTTTTCATCTTTTCCGGCTTCTTCTTCTGAGGGAAGTCAGGCAGAGGTTGTGGTTGAAAAGGAAAAAGAAGAGAAAAGAAAAATATAAGTCATTCACACACTCAAATGTAAGTAATAAACACAGTATTTGCCATGTCAGCATGAGGTGTTTAGGAGCCATATCTGCCAAGAAGAAGTATCTAAATGGTCAGTGGCAAAGTTAAGGTTGCAGATTACATACATCAGCTATTGTTATGTGTGTATGTTTGGGAGAAGATGTGGATCACCTCTTATCACATTGTCAGGTAGCTACGCGGCTATGGTGGGAGGTTTTAAATTGGTTCACAATATAGTGGGTTATGCCAAGGACAGTTAGAAGTCATTACATAGCCGGGCTTTCAAAAGAAAAAAACAAAGACCCAATGCATGGGATGTAGTCCTATTGGCTCTTATGTGGGTGGTATGGAGAGAGAGGAACAAGATGTAACTTTTGTAGAGAACCATATTTTGTTCTATTTTCTCTACTTTTTGGTATACTACTTGTAAAAGGTTATTCCCCAGCTTCACTAAAATTATTTACTTTATAAAATAAAAAAGGAGTCCATATGACAAGTCGTGCCAACTTTGAGGGACTATCTAGGTATTTAGCCTTAGGGGTCATCTAGTTCAAATACAAGTTATACAGGGATTAGTAATGTAAGGATTGCAATGCAGTGATTGTTTGGTGTTGAATATTTGGTTTGTTTAATTAAAGAACTTAGAGCCTGTTTGGATTGGCTTTTGATTTTTGATTTGATTTTTGGCTTTGAGTTAGAAATTCCAAGTTTTGACTTTTGGCTTATTTTTATCGTCTTAGCTAAAAATCAAGTGCTTATAAACACTTCTTAAATTTACCCAAACACTCCAAACGTGCTTAAAAAAAATATTTTTGCTTAAAAACACTTCCAATAAGCTAATCCAAACATGCTCTTAGTTCTGAACATCATGAGGGTATTTTTTTTTATAAAGGTAACTTGTATTATAAACAAAAGAATACATAAGGAGTATTCTAGTAATACTTACATCCAAAAGTTGCAAAACGAACAGAACTCCTATGGAGGTCATAAGAACTCTAAAATACTAGGAATATCCTCTGCATCTTGAGGATATTCATGTTTACACCAAAAAAAGAAAAGAACCAGGCAATTCAGCTTCAAATTCTGCATAGAGCAGCTCTTGCTTTTAAAACATCTCTGATTCCTCTCCATCCATATAGACCACCAAATGCAGGCAGGGACAATGTTTTATCTCTCCCTGTGTCCTGTCTGATTCCCATCTCTGTTCTAGCAAGCTAAAGCTTCTTTGATGTTCCTTGGCATAGTCCAACTGATGCCCCTTAAGTTGATGAAAATCTGCCACAACTTCGCAGTCTCTCTACAATGTAAAAAGAGATGATTTATTGTCTCGACCTCACATTCACAAAACAAACACCTGGAACAGATTTGCATACCTCTTTTCATTAGGTTGTGTTGAGTGAGTGCAGCCTGATTGGCTAACAGCCAAGTGAAACATGCTATCTTGAATGGTATCTTGACTTTCCAAATCATCTTCCAAGGCCATCCACCTATATGAGTACCAGGTCTTTGTGAGCTTCTATAAACCGAGCCAACTGAAAATATGCCTTGCTTATCTGGATTCCAAAATAGATTGTCCCCATTTGTGTTTAGATCTTTGCACTGCCCTAGAATGTTGAGTAGCTCAACTATTCTATTGACCTCCCAATCATTTAGATGTCTTCTAAACCTTAGATCCCACCCTTGATTATCTCTCATTTCTTTGATTGTCGCCTCTTTTTGAAGGCTCGTGTTGAACAAAATAGGGAACCTATTTCTCAAAGTCACCTGATCCACCCATTTGTCTTCCCAGAACAAATCCTTCCACCATTCCCTACCTTGATTTTGCATTTGTTAAAGAATTTGATCCATAAATTTCTGATGGATCTCCATACTCCGGATCCATAGGGTTGTGTGGACAGGTTGGTGATCCACAAATTCTCTTGTCATTTCCGTTTGTTTAATCCATATATTGCTAATACCCGTATTTTAATTCCAGATTCTACTCTGCCTAAAATATTACATAGATTTCCACATAACTTATGCAAATATTAATTACGAGGATAACCAAAATAGCTACCAAATAATGTAGAAAAAGAGTTGAATTTTGTACAATGATCAATTCCCTCCACCAATCAACCAAACAATGCTAAATTATATACCACGACTAATTTTCCCGACAAGACAACCATACGGGCCCTTAGATTATATCTAATTTCAGAAACCAGAATTAAAGTTAAAGTAAACTTGGAGGGCCTAAAATAGTGAATTACCAAAAGTGGGAACGCATTTTCCCTAAGTTGAGCTGAATTCAGAAACAAAAACAACTTTGAATTATTAAAAAAATTGTAGTTTAGATTTCTAAATTTAGCTTTCAGAATGGCTCCTATTCTGATTGAAAGCTACTCTGGTACAACAACTAGAACTGTAACTACGTCTCAATCCCAAGTAAGTTGGGGTCGGTTATATGATCCTCAAGGACCGTGTCATTTTATTTAGGCTGAAATCAGTCTAATATTATATAAAAGATTCCTAGCAAACATTGGACCTGATGACAATGAGCAAACATGCCTAAAACTTAATCCCAACTAATTGGTATTGCCTATATAGATGCTTTTCTTCCATTATCTCCTACTTTTTGGTAGGTTTGCATGGATTCCAGCAGATTGCAGGTCTTTCAATACAACTTCCGTCCATGTGATTTTAGATCTTGAAAGCTACTCTAATCGTCTATTAAATTCTAATCCTTGAGAATGGTTATCTGAAGAGCTCTGGTCATATTTGTTGGATGACAGATGTTGATTTCCTTTCTTGGTATTAATTTACAGTTGACTGGAAGAGTGGAAGAGAAAAGGCGATGGTCCGACGGAATCCATCAGGCCGTGGAGGCTAAAGAAGGCGTTAAAATCCAGGTACAGTATCTCCCACTGCTGACTGCTCCTTTCTGAAAATGGTTTCATTAGTATCTGCTAATTCATTCCTTATTAAAAGTGCACGATCTATTCATTTTGTAGGCTGATTCTGTTGTCGTGGCACAAATTACATATCAATCTCTATTTAAGCTTTATCCAAGGCTCTCAGGGATGACTGGGACTGCAAAAACTGAGGTTGGGTCACTTCTAAAGTCTCAAATATAGTTTATGCTTTAGTAATGAATTTCATTGTTTATGATACTTATCATCTATATACTGTGCACTGCAGGAAAAAGAATTCTTGAAGATGTTTCAGGTGCCAGTAATTGAGGTGCCGACAAATTTGCCTAACATTCGTAAAGATTTACCAATTCAAGCTTTTGCAGTAAGATGTTTATCATACTCAAGTAAGTTTAGTGAGGTTTTGGGAAAAGGACCAAGTCTCTGATTTCAATTTGGTTGCTTTCTATTGTTATGCCTTCAGACTGCACGAGGAAAATGGGAGTATGTTCGTGAAGAAGTTGAGTTTATGTTTCAATTGGGTCGTCCAGTTTTAGTGGGGACAACAAGGTACTTCTGTGACAAATGTTTTTGGTTTGATTTACTGCTTTAAAATTAAGAAACTGTTTTTAGTATTGACTCTCGCATATGCTACAATCATTGATTACAGCACTGCTCATGAATATATGCAAGCAGATAGATAAACACACATATATCTCTACGTACATATATATATTTTTGTGGAGCTACTCTGTGAAGCACTTTAAGGTCTGCAGGTCATATATCTCTGTTATCATAATTTGGTAAACACACTCTCATCGTAATATTTTCCCTATATGATGGATGATGTACATACTCATATATGAGCCTGTCTAGCCTAGGTGACCAAGCCTCTATCTTTTTTACCTACCTTACTCGTCTCTTTTTCCACATTCCCTTTTCATTGTTATTAGATGTATTGACAGTCAAATGTCAATGTGAAAACTGGGATCAATTGAGAAGTTCCTTCTACAAGCTACTTGAGAAAGTGATTAGTTTGTCTTGTTCCTGTGCACAAGCACAACAGAGGGAAATTAGCCAGTTAGAATAATTAGACTATCAGCAAAAGAAAAATCCTATAGAGAGGATATAACATGTAGTTGAGTGGCAAAAAAAAAAAAAAAAGAGAGGGAAAACCTGACAAAGAAGGACGCAGATAGCAACTGTTGAAACTGACATTCAATTTCTCTGTTTCCGTTTATCCTCCTGTTTTTGTCCTTCTCTATTTTATGATATTTTTTCTTCAGGAGGGCGACATATAGGTTTATATTAGTGAAAATTCTTCTGTTAGATTTTTCTACAAAGAAGCATACTTTCTTAGGTCTGCGTGTTTCCATACCAGGTACTGGACAAGTTATGCTATTAAGCAATAATGGGGTTATTAACTTCACTCTGTTAGTTGTTTTTGACACATGTGAGATCACTCTTTCCACTACAGGGAATCTATCTGCTTTAAATTTGACTTCATTATACGGCTATTTGATAAGAGTATTTGTTGCTCTTATTCTGTGCGGGTCTCTCTCTAGTAGC